ATTATTTCAATCAAAATTAAGAATTTCATATTAAGATTATGGTTCCACATTCTAGTTTCAACCAATTATCTGTAGTTAACTAGCTAACCTATTACTATTAATATTAGTTATACATAGTTCTAAATCTTTATTTCAAAATGAGATTAAGATTAGGGTGATGAGGAACAGTTTTTTAACTGCTGAGTTCAAACAAATTTCCTGATTATCTCTCGCTATCCCTAGTAAACTAGTAACCTAGGTACCAATATTTGTCTATAGCATTAATACATGATTGTAACAACAATTGAATTTATTGTTAAGAAGAATTTTTTTTTAGCTTCTTGGCTTCAAATTATTGTTCAAAGTATATCTAATTCCCTCTAATTAAATAAATAATCATTACTTATCAATACTACTACCTCATTATTTTTAAAATAAAATTTAGAAGTGAGAATAAAGTATTTATTAACTTCTTGGTGTCAAATATTCATTCTGGTAATTTCTAGTTACCTTTATTTAACTAATTACATACATAACACTAGATAACCACACTACCCACTCAGTATTCCACTATAGTAAGAATTTAGATGTGAGCCTGAGCAAGATTGAGACCCCATCTCTACAAAAATAAAATAGAAAAATTAGCTGGATGTGGTGGTGTGCACCTATAGTCCCAGCTACCTGGAAGACTGAGGCAGGAGGATTGCTTGAGCCCAGGAGTTGGAGGTTGTGGGTGAGCTGTGATCATGCCACTGTACTCTACACTCTAGCCAGGGTGACACAGTGAGACCTTGTCAAAAAAAAAAAAAAAGAAAGAAAAGAAAAGAAAAGAGGAGAGGAAAGGAGAGGGGAGAGGAGGGGAGTGGAGGGGAGGGGAGGGGAGGGGAGGGGAGGAGAGGAGAGGAGAGGAGGAAAGAGAAAAGAAAAAGAAAAAAAAGTTAGATTTGAGAAAAATGCGTTTTTCAGATTTGGGGCTCCTATGTATTTTGCTATTTATCTCTACTTATTTCTAGTTAACTATTTCTCTAGATACCCAGTTTTCTGCAGTACTTTTTTTTGAGACTGAGTCTCATTTTGTTGCCCAGACTAGAGTGAGTGCCATGGCATCAGCCTAGCTCACAGCAACCTCAAACTCCTGGGCTCAAGTGATCCTTCTGCCTCAGCCTCCTGAGTAGCTGGGACGACAGGCATGCACCAACCTGCCCGGCTAATTTTTTATACATATATTTTTAGTTGGTAAATTAATTTATCTCTATTTTTAGTAGAGACAGGGTCTCGCTCTTGGTTTCAAACTCCTGACCTCAAGCGATCCACCCGCCTCGGCCTCCCAGAGTGCTAGGATTATAGGCGTGAGCCACCGTGTTCAGCCAGTTTTCTGTAGTATTAACTCCTTATTCCAACAAAAAATATAAGGTAGAATTGAGAATATATTTTCATCTTTCTGAATTCAACTAATTATTCTGGTTATCACAAGCTATCTATAGATTATTTTCGTCTAGGTACTATGATTCATGTATTGTATTAACACATTATACCAACAAGAAATATGATGTCAGAATTGAGAAGAATGCTTCTGGGCTTCCTGGTTTATGTTAGTCATTTTAGCTATCTCCAGTTATTCGTAGCTATCTAATTTGTCAAGGTATCACTACTTACCTATAGTTCTAAGGCAAAATCCCAACAAGGAATAAGAATATATAATATAAAACTGTACTTATCAATTTTGATTTCAAATATGTGTTCTAATTATCTTTAGTTACCTCTAGCTACCTAATTGAGTAGCTATCACCAGCTATCTATAGTATAAGCTCATTATTATAACAAGAAAGAGGAAGTAGAATGGTAAACCATGATTTTTCAAGTTAATAGCTTCAAATATTTTTCCTAATTATTTTTACTTAACTCAAATTTTCTGTCAACCTAGATACCACTAAATATCTATAATACAAACTCATTTTATTAAGGAAAGAGAATTTATATTTGTTGATGATTGCTTTCCAGGTCCCTGGCTTCTCTGAATTTTTCTAGTTATCTTCCAGTTCAGTAGTTACCTATGTACTCCAGTTATATAGAACTAACTCATTATGCTAACAAGAAATAAGAAGCTGGCTATGAGAAGAACGTGTTCTCCACTCTAAGGATTCATCTACATCTCTAGTTATCACCAATTAATTTCCTGTGTTCAGGCAGTTATCTATAGTACTAACTCATTATTCCAGTAATAGACAAGAATGTAGTGTTGAGAAGAATGTTTATTCAACTTCCTAAATTCAATTACTTTTCTCCAGCATCCTGGTTTAAATTTGTTCTGGATATCACCATTTATCCTTTGGTTACTAGTGACCAAGGTACGACTAGATACCTATGGCACTAACTTGAAAGTCAAACAAGTAAAGAGAATTTTGAACTGAAAGGTACTTTTATCTCTAGTTATGTCTAGTTAACTAATTACAAAAGAGCAATAATAATAGCATACAGCATAATAGCAAATGTTATTGAGCACATTCTCTGTGTCAAGGACAGTATTTAGAAGACAGGTTCAAATCCCAGCTCTGAACATTTCCCAAATGAGTGACTTAGAACAGGTTACTTAACATCTCTGTGATTCAATAACATCACCTGTAAAATGACAATAATAGTACATTTATATCCATAGTGTTGTTAAGAGGATTAAATGTGTTAATATAAGCAAATCACTTAGATCATTGCTTGGAACACAGTAAGAACCAGCTAAGTGTAAGCTACTGTTATTGTCATCTCAATCTTCACAACCCCATGAAGTAGGTACTATTATTATCCCATTTTACAGATGAGAAAATTGAAGCACAAGAAAAAGCAACTCACCAGGTTAGCTAGCTAGCAAATGACAAGCAAAGTGGTGATGCAGATGCCAGCTATGTGGCTCCAGGGTCCCTACCCTTAGAAATCTGGGACATCTAACCTATTTTTACGTGGATGAGGCTCAATTAGATATGTAACATTTTCAAGAATGAATCAACTAAAAATATTAAATAAATACTACCTTGGCTGCTGCCCACATAGACAACATTCACCAAAAGGGGCACAGGAATGATTGACGTTTAGAAAACACTGGAGTAAATCATGGAAATATCAGAGGTGAGAGACCACATGACTCAAATTTTGACATATGTCCTAGCTAGGTTAATGCACACCGAGAGACTATTGTAGGACTCTCACTTAATAACTGACCCCAGGCCAAATTCATCACAGAGAATCTAGCAACAAGAGAAGGAGACCAGCAGATCCCAGCAAGAGCCAGCCTGAGAAGGAGATGTCTTGGTTAAGTCAGCGAGAGGCTATGGGGGTGAAATTCCTTGACAGCGTTTTTAGAGTGAATTTGTCAGCCAACAACCCTGTAGCTGGTTTCCTACCCACCCTCTGGGAACACAAGGCAGGAGACACTTATCTGTTAGGTACAGTGGACAAAATGAGTGGAGTCCACCATACTTTTAGGGGCCTGTGAAAGTGGTTTAGTTTCTTTTATTATTAATAAATGGGTCTGGTGGCAATGGTGGTTACGAAGGTAAAAATAGTCCTTTTACGAAGGTAAAAATAATGTCCTGTATGCATCAGTTTTCTAAGACTAAAAAAAAAAAACAGATTAAAATTTTTAAAAAGTAAAAGAAAAAAATAGGATAATGTACATTCTCAGGCATAGGGCCAATTATTAGGAGCAATTCTCAATATTAGGATACTAACTGGTCCTGAGGTACATTTCCTTTTTTTTTTTTTTTTTTTTTTTTGAGACAGGATCGCTGTGTCGCCTGGGCTAGAGTGCAGTGGCCTCATCGTAACTCTCACAGCAACCCTAAACTCCTGGGCTCAAGTGAACCTCTTGCCTCAGCCTCCCCAGTAGCTGAGACTACAAGGCACGCACCACGACGCCGGGCTCATTTTTTCTTTTTTTTTTTTTTTTTTTTTATAGAGATGGGTTCTCGCTCCTGCCCAGGCTGGTCTCAAACTCATGACCTCAAATGATCCTCCCGCCTCGTAGAGTGCTTTGACTACAGGGGTAAGCCGCCTCGCGGCGCCGCGCCAGGGAGGCACGCTTCTTGAAGGGAGAAACATAGGGCTCCCAATCTGCCCTGGCTCTTTTTGTATTTGACATTTATCAGTGCGGAACGAACGAGGCCTCAGACAGTTCTAGAAAAAGGGTGAGAAAAGACAGAGGTGGAGGGGAAGGCGGGAACTAATCCAAGTCCACAACTCCTGCCCAGACCGGGAACACGCGCGCTTCTCTAGAGTGCCTGCAGCCTGAGGCACGGTAGCGGAACGGAGTGGAGCAGACGTCACATGCTCCACGGTCACGTCCAGAGCCAAAGGAAGGGCCACAAGCAGTGCAACCATTCTCAGATGCAATAAACAAGGGGCAGGGTTCTTCCCTCGTACTCAGATGTGCTGTACTTGGAGCTTTCGCAAGGGGATGTTGGGTTTCTTGCAGCTTGCATCTCAGCACCCAGAGTGCTGCGCAAACCCAGCCCCAAGCTCCCGCTCCCCAGACCCCCTAAAGTGCATTGCTGCAAAACCCTAGCATGTAGTCTCCTACCTAATAATTTCATCTTAATAACAGCAAGATTCACAGACTTTGGGTGCGAATAGGACAGAACCAGAAAGTCCCATCCATGAGTTACCAACTTCCCAGAGGGGACAGTGGTGCTGCTGAGGGCTGAGCGTGTTCTCTCTCTCACACACACATATGCCAGCTAGCGTGCATCGAGGACTCGGCGGAGAGATGCTCTCCAAACATTTTCTCCAAGGGCTCCGGGGGCTAGAGTGAGACTCGCTCCTCCGTCTCTTTCCCTGCCTTAAATCGGCTTGTGCAGTCCTGCACAGCCCCCTTCCTCAACAGTGACCCTGCCCGAGTTGGGAGTAGTCAGCTAAACTGCAGGATTTAGCTGGGGTTCCCCCCACACAAACACCCGCTACCAGAGCCCCCGCTACAAGCACCCCCCCGCTGTACCGCCACGCCCTGGCAGCGTGCGCCACGCAGCAGGTCCAACCCAGCACACACGCCACAACTGGAGGCGACTGGAGTAACAGTCGTCTAACCACGAGGGCGTAGACGTTGAACCTGAGGCAGACGCGCGCTATATAAACCCCCACCCCCAGACCCCGGCACAGAGACGGCAGAAGCTCACGGCGTCGTCCACGGCACTCAAGAGCATGGATTCTCCGCCCGGGTGCAGCCACGAGGATACCGGCTACCGCAGCCTGGGGGTCGATGAGCTCCAGGAAGAACTGCATGGTCAGTGCCTGGCTCCGGGCAGGTGCTTTAGCGAACTCCAAGAAACGAACTTTCCCTCAGAGAGGCGAGCGGACGCGCCGCTTCTGTGCGGCCGCCGCCGCCGCTCCTCAGGTCGCCGGCCCTGGCCGCTCTCTGCCCGCGTGCTCTGGGCTCGATCTCTGGGAACCTGATCTCTCTCTCTCTCTCTCTTTCTTTTTGGTTTTCTCCCTTTCCAGATGTGAAGGCTATGGCGACCTCGGTGACTGAAGCGGGAGGAGACGACGAGGAGAAAATAGGATCCGACCCGGAGCAGGGCGCAGCAGCAGCAGGAGAAGAAAGCCAAGTTGGCGCGGAAGCTCCAGACCCCTTCGACGACGAGACCCAGAAGTGCGGCGGCGGTGGCGGCGGCGGCGGCGACCAGGAGCCCACCCAGGAGGCTGCCCAGGAGGCCGCCGAGGGTCTGCAGCCCCAGGACAGGCAGCATCGCTTCTACCTCAAAACCTTCAGGCGGCTGCAACTGCAGGAACTGGAGAACGTTTTCCAACGCGGTCAATACCCCGACGTGTTCGCAGGGTAAGCCGCTTGCTCTTATGGCGGGGGTTCTCCGGGACGGTAGGGCTTGTCCCGGGACGCTTTGGGCTCTCTCCTTCCAGTCTCCTTCCCTCCCCTTCAGAATCAAAACCTATGTAGGGAGCTCAGGGTCGCTAGAGTCCGCCCCCCCCCCCTTGAGCTCTGAAGTGCGGGCGATGCCTACGGGCATCAAGGTATTCCCCACGCGGTACATAAATGAAAAAAGTCAGGAAACTTTGGCCGCACTCCTGTTTTTGTAAATAACGTTTTGTTGGAATCAGGATATACATCAAGGTGAGGAGAAAGAGGCATACATGGTCAGATCCTGCCTTTATTTAAAATTTTGATAATTTGGTCATGATGGATTTTTTCATTGGTCTTTATTTTTTTAATACTGCGTGAAAAATTATTCGTCTTGAATCCTGAGTTTTTTAGCGCCTCCCCCCCTTAAATTCTGCACACAAAGGAAAATCATCCCTAAAGCAAGCCTGGAGCTAGGGACTACAGAAAAATGTGTTGGGGCGGTTGGAAGGGTAGAAATTTTAAAACAAGTATGAAATGTGCTTCCGTGTATTTTTTTCATCGACAACTCCAAATCCTGAACTTTTGCGGTTTTCTCCCCTCAGAAAGGAGCTGAAATTACGCGTGGATGTGACCGAAGCTAGCGAGCAAGTCAGTAATCCTGAAAAAGGCAACAAGCCAGGACAGCCACTCTAAATCCTGCTTCAAGAATTGACCAGCTGTGTCCTAGACGTTCTCAAGTTGGTGTGTTTTTGTTAACTTTTCCATGTTTGGCAAATAAGCTTTGAAGTTTTGGGGGTGAAAATGGGATAAGCAAACCCCAGCTTATGGGAAATTTCCCATTACCAGGGGGAATGTGATTTTCTAATGGAAACATAAAAAGAAAAAGAACCAAACTGCCGTTTACCCCTATTCTCTGTACAAGATTAAATACAAATAAAGTTTAACTGCTTCTAACAATGGTATCCTTTAAGGAACATTTCTGTGTGGAGTCTATTGGGGCTCGATCTGACCTGGGAAGTATGCAAAATAATGCACCAAGGAGCTGGTTTACAAGAGATTTCAACTGTATTCAATTACTGAAAATATTTAAGCCAGGCATATGCTCTTAGCTAAATTAGTGAATTTATAAATATTCAAGCATTGGGATAGGGGAATAAATAATTCATACACATAGAACACACTACAGGTGCAATTACTGTATGTTTAGGTACACTGAGAGTGATGGGAGGAGATATTTTAAAACTCCAAGTGTCTGGTTCTTCTGTTTTGTTTTTGTTTTTTTCAGTCTGTGGTAAAGCTGTGTAGATAGTAGCAGCCCTAACTTTCTGTAATACTTTGATGTGTTAGCCTGAAAATATTGCTAATACATTCACTTTACAGTGGGGAGGAGTTTGCAAACTGGGAATTTGTCTAAAAATTGAGACACACAAGAACAATTTTGAATAAAGTTCCACTGACCTAAGAAGGGTGAAAAGGTTAAATAAGAATTGCTTACACTCAAATATATACCTTGAAGATATGGCACAAATTGAATTTCATGAGTGAACATTTTCTCTTGAGGAATTTCTGACAAAAATTCTTGACAAATTCTGAGGAATTTCTGACAAAAATCTAAATTTTTTTTTCTTTTTTCTTTTTTTGGTGGTACTATTTTGAAGAGGTGGGTTTTGTGAAATTTGTTAGGTAGTGGGTGGAGGCTCTCAGTTCAGACCAGATTCTTACTTGTGTTAATTTGAAATACTTTTTCATTTGCTCAGGCAGTGGTGACTAATTTGTAGGTCATGGACTCAAAATATTATTATTTGAGACCATAGAAAACCATAAGTTGTATTAAGAGAGTATTTTTCACATAGTGAGTGTGATGTGCACTGTCTGGGGGATGTACACGCTTGAAACTCTGACTCGAGGGGCACAGGGAGGCAAAGGCAATGTATGTAACCTTAACGTTTGTACCCCCATAATATGCTGAAATTAAAAAAACAATTTAAGAGTATTTTTCAAAAACAAAATCCAGGTTGGGTTTATTAGCTTTGCTCCTCAGTGTGTGTGTGAGTACAGTGAGGAAAAGGAGCTGCAGATCTAATGGTGCTGAATTTGGACCTGTTTTTTTTTTTTTTTCTTCTGAGTCAGAGTGTCAGTCTGTTGCCCAGACTAGAGTGCCGTGGCATCAACCTAGCTCACAGCAACTTCAAACTCCTGGGCTAAAGCGATCCTACTGCCTCAGCCTCCTGAGTAGCTGGGACTACAGACATGTGCCACCATGCCTGGCTAATTTTTGTATGTATATTTTTAGTCGGTCAATTAATTTCTTCCTATTTTTAGTAGAGATGGGGTCTCACTCTTGCTCAGAGCTGGTTTTGAACTGCCTCGGCCTCCCAGAGTGCTAGGATTACAGGTGTGAGCCACCGTGCCTGGACCTGGTTTAGCTAAAGTTTCCTTTACAAGCTAAAATATTAAGGCAGTATCCAGGGCATCAGCAACTCTCCTATCCCAGCTAGACAAGCCACAAACTTTCTGGGGTCCCTCCTTACCTCCTTACCAAGCCCTGCTTGTCAGACCTCATTATAACTCGCAAGGGGTTTCAGAGGGTAAATGGCTCCTTAGATATCCTTGAGGAAACCAGGTTAACTATCTACCCTGCTCCCATTGATTAGTTACTTCAGACTGAAGACGGGCTTTCCAAATGAGGGGCCGTTCCTCTCAGTATGACTTTAAATGGGGCACATCTTATACCTTGCACAAGTTTCCCCACAACCAGGGTGACACTGTCTTTAATGCGGAGTGAGCAGAGGCGGCCGGACACCCGATGGACCATTGTCAGGGTACCAACATTTCTCCACCCTGTTACCAGGCACAGCATCAACAGCAGGGACCGAGTACAATTTGTCAGCTAGATTTGCATCCAAGATCTGGAAAAAAACCCTTAAGGAATATTAAAAATGGGAAGAGAGAGACAAAGCAATAAGCCTAGTCCAAAACTGAACTGAAAGGAAGGGGGTGCAGCGTTAACTTTCCTAAGATATTTTACCAATAAGGAAATAGCTTCTCCCAGTGGAGTTTAAAATCTCAATGGCATAAAGAGGTGCATGTTGTGGGTTTTCTTTTTCTTATGACATTAATCATTTGATATACTAAACCAACCCCTTTTTTCCTCTACTTGAAAGTTTGGTTTACTAATAGGAGGGTCAAGTGGAGGAGACGTCAGAGGGCATTAAGGTTCAGAAATATGCCTCCACCACACCCTGGGACACCCAGTAAGGCATAATCTTGGATGGGTCCTATAATGCCATCCTTGTTCTGGAGCCTGATTGGAGATGGTTTCTTCTGGAGCCACTGTGCCCGGGCCACGTATACTACCCATGCCTCCTCTGCCCTTGCCTTCCTTTGGCCTGGCCTTGGAAGGGATGATCAGTAGTCATTTTGTAGTCTCCATTTTCTAATATTGGGCCTTTATGTCAGTTTTTCCAAAGGGTTTTTCTTCCAGATTCTAATTGTGCATAGCACAACATCTAAAGCAGTTCACCAAATGCCTGTTACATGAATTGAATGAACCAACAAAGTGCATTATTTTTTTTTTGGTGGGGTTTGTTTTTGTATTTTTCAGTAAAGAGGTGAATTCTCAGTATGCTTGGTTTTGTGCCTGAAATGGGCTTAATGGTAATGGATGGGAATTTCTAAGGGAATGACAGTCAAAATGAATGGCAAGGAGGCCTCTTGAGGTGACATCCCAGAATCACCCTCAATAGGCCTGTGCACATCACAGAAGTTTTCCAAGTATCCTTGGTGTGTTTATGCTGACCCACACTTTTTCTCCCCTGCTCACCATCACTCCATGGTCACCCTCGCCCTTTGGGACCACATACATGTGCAAGACAAGGTGGGATGAGAGAACTGTGTTTCCAGGCACAACAGAGCCTCATCCATGCTAATATGAACATTCAGGCCCAACCTGAACTCCAAGAGAAACTTCATAAGAGGCTACTCACAGGGTTTTATGGGAATTCTGTTTACTGCCCTCCATTTTTGTAGAGGACATAGGGGAATAGGAGCCATTTTGGCCCAAAGGTCCTTCGGCTTCAAAAGAAACATATGAGGAGACTCCGTCAAAGCCAGAGTGAGGCTCTTCTCTTCTCCCCCATCCTCAGGCTAGGGGAGCCTATTGTACCTTCCCAAACTTAAAATAATCACACTTTCAAATGTATTTTGTTGCTTTCCTCATCCTCGAGAGAACCCCAATTCCTGCTAACTAAACATGAAAAGGGATCTTTTGGTTTAGTACCACTTGAAGCAAGAAGGAGATGGTCCCCTGAGCAGTGATCCAGACTAATCGGTCACTGGAAAGAGGTGATTATTTATTTGTGCTGTCTTCTTCATGTGAAACTGCCAGAGTAGAAAACAAGAACAAAAATGGGGGTGACTAAGGAGGCCAGGCCCACTTTTTAAAAATCATTAAGTTCTTCACAGTACAACCTTTGTTTTTGAGCAATCTCTAGCAATTCAAGGCTTCTTTAAGGTAGTTTGCTGTTAAAAGTGGTTAATTGGCCGGGCGCGGTGGCTCACGCCTGTAATCCTAGCTCTCTGGGAGGCCGAGGCGGGCGGATTGCTCAAGGTCAGGAGTTCGAAACCAGCCTGAGCAAGAGTGAGACCCCGTCTCTACTATAAATAGAAAGAAATTAATTGGCCAACTAATATATATAGAAAAAATTAGCCGGGCATGGTGGCACATGCCTGTAGTCCCAGCTACTTGGGAGGGCCCAGGAGTTTGAGGTTGCTGTGAGCTAGGCTGACGCCATGGCACTCACTCTAGCCTAGGCAACAAAGCGAGACACTGTCTCAAAAAAAAAAAAAAAAGTGGTTAATTATGGCCCGGTATGGTGGCTCATGCCTAGAATCCCAGCACTCTTAGAGGTGGAGGCAGGAGGCCAGAAGTTTGAGGTCAGCCTGGGCAACATAGCAAGACCCTATCTCTACAAAAACTTTAAAAAGTAGCTGGCATGATGGTGTGTGCCTATAGTCTCAGCTACTTGGGAAGCTGACAGGAAGATCACTTGAGCTCAGGAGTTCAAGGTCACAGTGAGCTATGATCATGCCACTGTACTGCTGCCTGGGTGACAGACTGAGACCTTGTTTCTTAAATAAACAAATAAATAAATAAGTGGTTAATTGTGAACACCAAGGTTGCATTATGAAGTGATTGCTAAGATAAGGTGCCATGGTTACATGAGAATTTCCTCTCCTAGAGGTTAATCCAAAGACCAGTTTCATAGCACTTATATATTTCCAGCATAAATAGAGGCTCTGATTTCTTGGGAAAGCATGTGTTTTTTTGCTGTGTTGTCCACTATTTTCACCCCTCTCCTGTTTTCTTTCTGACCTTCACACGCGTGGGTGTTAAACATCAGCAAAGCAGTTGCATGTAATGCGGGACTTCTGTGCAGAGGAGAGGTTATTGCTATCTAGCGGCCCTAGCCCCTGGTGGAAGTGAGTAACATCCAGTAATACACCTGTGTGTGCCCATTGCCATCCTGATCAGATGATTGTGAAAGCACTCCCAATGTTGACAACTGTTTTTTTTATTTATTTTAGACAATTCTATTCTTTTAGAGCTATTTATTTATTTATTTATTTATTTTTGAGACAGAGTCTCACTCTGTTGCCCAGGCTAGAGTGAGTGCTGTGGCGTCAGCCTAGCTCACAGCAACCGCCAACTCCTGGGCTCAAGTGATCCTTCTGTCTCAGCCTCCCGAGTAGCTGGGACTACAGGCATGTCCACCATGCCCGGCTAATTTTTTCTATATATATTTTTAGTTGTCCAATTAATTTCTTTTTTTTTTTTTTAGTGGAGACTGGGTGGTCTCGCTCTTGCTCAGGCTGGTTTTGAACTCCTGACCTTGAGCGATCCGCCCCCCTCGGCCTCCCAGAGTGCTAGGATTACAGGCGTGAGCCACT